GACTCTTTTTGAAGATTGTCCAAATGATCAGGAAATTGTTGTTGTAGAAGGTTTTGTGCTTCGAATTCCCTTAAATCACGTGAATTGGAAGGAGCAGTTTTTGTTGCCTGGGCTTCAGAGCTTGCTGGGCCTTTATGCTTTCCGTACAAATTAATCACTAGTTTGACTTACGATGTTATCAGTGACTACTTTACTATTTATTTTCTATTTACAGGCGCGCAAAGAAGTGAGAGCTGTGATGTCGCAGCAGATGTTGCTTCTTCGTGCTCGGGAACAAGAACTCCTTGATGAGTTAGATGTTATAATGAACCATAAGGAAAGCAAATTGGAGCTACAACAGCAATCGTTGTACAGGAATATCTGTAAGTTATTAATTTTTAAATCATCCGTTTGCGTCTATGTACTTTATTTAGGGGAGTGTAAGCAAGCACTGGAGAAAATTCGTGGTGAAGGAGCATCAATAGATGCTATGCAGGTATTTTCTAGGTAAGTGATCAGTATTTTAATTGTTAGTGATTTAGTTCCAGTTCTTGTGGATTTCTTGCAATGTTTTCATGAGGCGATGTTTCAAGGGCAACAATCTTGGAAAGAGCTCTATTCTTATAGTCATGACTTCTTACTCTTCCAGAGTCGGGCATATCGAGTTGTCTTCCCGAGAGTCAGCCCATGTTTCATTTGAGTCTGATGCGATTGGATTACGCTCGAAGCTTTTGTCGTTCGGCACTATTCGTACTTCTTCAAGACACGATCACCCTAATCAAGTACTTTTTTTATTATTGTTTTTCTCTATTTACCTTACTGTCTTTATCAAAATGGTCAGCAATTCTTATCTATTGAAATTTCGCTTCTTATTTATTTTGACTGTAGCCTCTATGTTTACTTCTGCCTGGTGTTACTGTTGAAATTTGGTTTAAAAAGGCATCATTAATGTTTTCGGTCATTTTGCGGGCTCTTATCTTTTGTGATGATAAAATGGAGGAAAGCGGTGCTGGTCATTATTATTGGCTCTTGTTCAGTCAATACCAGGAGAAAGTCTTCCAATGGAAATAGAAGAGTATGATGATGCCTTGATGGCCCATAAGTCGGTTTTGCGCATGAGGTCTAATCCATCGACTTCGAGTAATATGAGCAGGCAGCAGGTTGAGTCGGTTAGTTGAAAGAATGTCATAATCTAGCGGAAAATCATCAGTCTATTTGAAGGTGAGAAAATGGTTGAAGAAGATACCATCAGGTCCAGGTGCCCTTGACGCAGATGTGTCGTCTATCATGGCTGAGTTCGACGTGATTAAGGTAGTTTTCTTTGACATTCACTCCAGTTAATATGGTGGAGATTTAGTTCGAAGAAAACATCTGTAAGTTTGGGATGAACTGGTTTTTTAGAATGTCGATTATCAGGTGTTACAATAAAAGATTCCAGAACTCTTCTACACCAGAAGCTGAAGTTGAGAGCACAGATTCGGCATCTTCTTTCGATATCATCGCTCCTAAAGACAGTGGCGCTCCAGAAACTCCTGCAGAAAATGTGTTGAGCGCTGAATTTCTAAATGTTAGTTTACTTAGACGCTCTGTTGATTTGAACTTTTATCAGCAGTCGCATGTTTCAGACGCTCCAGCAACCGTTATCATCGTGGCTTATGCGTATCATGCCCAATGAGAAGGTATTGTTGAGGGGTGCGAATGTTAAGTGATGGGCTTATTTTCGAATATTCGTTTAGGTGGAGAGAAATGCAAGTGCAATTGATGTTGTGGAAGAGCCTGTGCGATCAATGAAGCGTCCTCATAGCTGTGGTGATATCAGAAGGTTATTTTTCATTTTTATAGTACTTGCTGAACGTTCCAAAACCTCAAGCACAAGGAGTTGCTGAGTTTTATAATTCAATGCAATGTTATTCTTTTATATCTTGTCCTTACTCAGTTTAATTTGATTGT